AATTTCTAGATTTGCTCGTAAGTGTCGTCTGCGGAATTATTCTCTTTTAGGTAAAACCATTGCCGGAGATATCAGAAGGGGTGGGAGGTTAAAGAGTAATATTTTAAAAAGTACCACATTGCGTTTGTATTTTGTAAAGACAATTTTTTACGTGTTCAAAGTAAGATACTCTGAATTATATATATATCTTGCCAGGTTTAATGGTATTTGAGACAGAAAAATGATCGTTTATTCCGATTAAAATAAAAAGTTTACCCAGCTTGCGGATGGAAACGTCCATTTATGCAATCAGATTAGCCGACTATTAATGGGGACATTCAAATTTTTATATATATAAAAATAGATTTTACACCACAGTTTTCTTAACAACACAAAGTAAGTAAAATTATAAACAAATTTACAATACTAAAGTATTAATTTTAATCTATCATATCTCATAGTTGGAAATTATGAATTTTTATGTTGCACATTTACTACCTACGGAGTAAATGGACTTGGCGAAACCTTTGTTCTTCCGGGTCGGAGTTCCTTGCTCTTGTTTTGATTTTGAAATGGAAATGTGTTTTGCAACTACATGTATATTTTTACGGGGCTTTTCTGACGTTTGACGCTACCGTTGGCACGATATGATCGCACTACCATGTACACGCTACCGGAGGCGGCAGATGAGTGGTCATTTTTACACAATCGTCGAGAAATTTTGACGTTATGCACCCGGAAGTGCGCCGATATCGGTTTGCGTTCCCTCGATTTTTGACAGTTTCCCCCGTCAAAATAAGAAACAAAACTACCGCTATTAAATAGAACCATGTATTACAATTATCATTTGAACATGATTGATCTATAACATATTCCTTTATAATATTATAAGTATAATATCATCATGGTTGTGGAAAGTCCTCAGCTGGCGAACCATTTAGTCGGCATGTCACGAGTTCTTGCGCCGCGCCGGGAGTGACGAACATTTTCTTACACATATTCTTACCCCTTCCGAAACACTTTGCGGTACCCAGGATTAGGGTGGTCTGCATATTCCCTCGTCGTGATTGTAGTTGACGTAAAAATCTAGGTAACGTTACATAAAATTGAATGTGTGGGTCATTGCGCACGACTTACGTGCAACGTGACCTCAGGTAACCCGCAATGTTCGATGTGTTCGATGGCCAACGGCAGATAGAACGAGCCATTCTTTAGATCGAACGTGGAACGGGTATAGCACTTTTGGCCCTTTTTTGGCCTGAAATAGCCATTTAAGTCCCCTAAATGAGTCATTTGGAAGTGGTGTATGCCAAACATGTGAATGCTATTCTGTAGACACATGTTCAAGGTACCCTTATACCGAATTTCAGACCATTTGGTTGTAAAACCAGCGCTCAGGATCCAAAAATCCATTTTTTGTCGAGAAATGCCCCAAAAAGCCTTCATAAAAATTTTTCAAAGGCATATATCAAAAAAATGAAAAAAACGCCTAGGGGTATTGGCCCACTCTACCTCCTTGCCAAATTTCAGGTCATTTGACTAAAAAATGACAGAGTTGAATCCCTTTGACTGTGTGGCAGGAGGAGAAGGAGGAGGAGAAGGAGAAGAAACATGAGGGAACACAATATATTTCATCCATGGTATGGACTGAAATATAA